CGGCTCAAGAGACATGGCATCCAAGAGCAAGCGTGGACTAACAAAGTAATCGAGATCGAACTGGTGGATGGACGAAGGCAAGTCATTCAATGAACGTGCAAGTTCTAACAAGTCTTATTGTGAGAAAATACCATCAGCTTAAGTAGAGTTTAGTTGAACTTACCATTTCTTTCCTTCAACACAATCTCAGGTACTCTCTCAGACATCAGGCGCAGAGTAAGCGATCCCAGACGAGACATGGTACCCGCTATCAAGCAAAAGGAGCGCGGAGAGTAAAAAAAGCGATCAAATCCACGACATAAGTAGAAACCTCGTATCATGGGTACTTCTGGGAGACACGGTGTCAACTCCTCAAAATTGTCCTCAACGTGATCTTCTAGTCTACCGAGATAACTAAGGCCTCCTTTAGCCCAGGGTATGGTAACGTTCAAGTCTACCAATGGCTCCTCTTGCAAAGGTATTTGAGCGAGCAACTTCAGAAGAGGCATAAAGCCTGTGTCAACTTCGGGCCCTGCCGTTGGAGGGTGTTCTTCATCCGGTGGTGGAAACGAGTAATCAACTCGGCGGAGATATGAAAGACGCCTGGGGGTGAGAATGTTGTTCTCTATCGCATACAAGACCGATTCTTGGTTCAACTTGAGCTCGCGGAAAGATGCCTCTTCAATGAGAGGTTGCCATCGGTGAGACAGTGCTGCTAAAGGTGCGAGACAATGGATTGGCGGTCTGGTTTCGTCGTAGAATTTCGCTGGCGAGAAGTACTCATCTGGCACAAGATGTTGAATGATATTTGATATGATCTCTGGTGCTAGTCGGTCCATTTTGGTGGTGGTGTGGCATTGCGCTGAAAGAGAAGAGTGGTAATCACGATGGATTCAAATGGCAGAAATCGATCGCGGAACGGAGCGGAAAATATCCGTGTCACTTGTTGGCTGCTGCCTGTTACACGACCATCTTAACTACTCCGTAGTGCATTGACATTTACGATTCCTCTGGTGACAAGTACTTAATCACTTCATTTTAAGGTATTTTCTAGATATTACTAAACAGACGCGTCCGTATCTGAATGAACCTGCGCCCATTCCGGCCAAGACTCCAATCCGCCATCCGCATCAAACATCTCTGATCCTATAAAGTTGGGATACAAGAAAGAGAGATCAGGCGGTAACAATAATTCTTCGGGATTGTAATCAGCGCCAGGATTCTCAGCTAGTGCTCCGGAAACAAGAGGCGTTGAAGGTTGGAACTCTGGGCGAAGCTTCTGGAACTGTGCATGCACAATATCGCCTAGAATATGCGCAGCGTGACAAGGCAGGCCAATAGTCTTGAACCAGGTTATAAGCTTGAATACTATATTATCCAACTCGGTAGTATCATAATTAGCAGCTCGCAGTTTGGACTCGTATGTGTGAACGATTCGACATAGAGTTAGTGCAGAGAAGCTGAGGATGTGATAAATGTGATCTGTTAAATGGCGAGTACGATCGTCGGTTGTGTCGATGGCGAGATTGATGATGATTTTTGAATGCTTGATCATTTCTTTGAGGACGGAGCTGTGCATAACTGATTTCGGTGATTTCAGGGACTGACAATGAGCCAGTAGGTGAGCGAAGTGGAAGCCCATTTGCAGAAACTGGGATCTGGGCTCGTCTGGATCATGTCAACATCAAGATTCTAGCACATCGAGAATAGACTTACGAAAAAGGACCATCCATTCTTGTTGCCATGCTTGCAGCGCGAGTTTAGTTCCCGCAAGGTCGACCTGAGCAATCCCACATTTGTTGTAGATAATCCAATAGAGCTGAACTTCTGCTCCCATCCTCGCCTCGTAGTTGTTCACCTCATTAGACTTGACAAAATTTACACATTGGTCAACTTGTGCTTGAGTTAGAAGTGAATGCCTGCGCGTTCCAACGCAGTACCTGTCCTACTGTCAGCAGATATCTCGTGAATTGTCTCTTGGTGACTCACTGAAGATGGGCAACACATAGGTGATTCCACAAACACCAAGCATCCAGCGAGTCATCGGTATGCTGAGACGAGCCTGGGCGGATAACGTCCATGAAGTGAGGGCTCGCGAGCGCTTGCTGAATCGCATAGCCCGTGAGAAGCCAGCTGTCTATACTCAAGGGAACTTGGCCTATAGTCGTCGACCAAAGACTTAGTATGAGTACGGCTTGGAAGAACTCTAAAGTCTGCGGGACTTCCAGCAATGATGTCGTGATAAGACGCTTCGATTCTTCGAAAAGCCTAGGAGCGAGTCGATCTGCCAGATTCTGGCTTGTGTGCCGGACAGATATCAAAAAGATGCTACATAACAGCAATGGAGACTTTCGGATCTGTAATAGAAGTCTGTCTGTTGGGATGTCTTCTGGGAATCTGACCCATCTGCCATAGTGAACATGGAATCTGAATTATGTCAGTTACTCGTTATTTAACGAAAGATGATGATAGCTTACAATCCTAATAGTGAGTGAGCTGTTTGTAGTGAGACAAGCCCTGTTGATAAAACGTCTGATTGAGGTCCTGTTTGCGCAATTGCTTGCTCAGGCGAGTGAACTCCCGCGTCAGTCGCAGCATCTCGTATTAAAAACACCGGAGCCGGGTCGAGTTCAGCAGACGGTACTGACACTTCCACCACTGCAGGTCTACTGTTACTAGATGATCCGGCAATTTCATCTAGTTTTGAGTCAAGTTTATCGACTAAAGCGCTGACTGTTCGCTCGAGCCTTTCTAACCTATACGAATCGTCAATGATAACTCATCACTTGCACCAATATACAAACCTATCATCAACTGAGCTTCTCCTACCTCGAACAGCCGAGTCTTCACGTGAAACATCTATTTCTTCATGTATGGGTGGTGAGATAGAGCGTCGATGGCCTGTAGAGTCCAAGGAGCATCGTTGAGATAAGGTCTTGCAACGCAAACAAGTTCCATTTGAGCTGCCGGAAGCATAACAGCGAGTTTTGTATTTGCGGCAAAGATCACATGCTTTTGAAGCTCTACCAGATCTTACAGGAGGCATGTCAATGGCGAGGGATCTGCATGCAGGAAACAAATGCTTGGTATAGATAAGGAGTTCAACGGTCTATCGTGCCTTATCAGTAGAGATGGCGTGCTAGATTGATCACGTGGAAGCTACGGAGATATAAGTCACATTTCGACAACAACTTCATGAATTCAGAATTGGGGGCTATCGAATGACCTGCTTTGATATTATGGGGTCCTTGATATACGTAGTGTTGCGAATGTGTTGAGAGCCTGAGCATGGTCGGTGGGTTAGCAGTTGATGTAGTGGTTCAAATACACAATGGCCCAAGTAAAAAGAGAGGCTGTTTCGAAGAGCTCAGAACTCTGAAGATTGAGGTCAGTTTAAAAACACAGAGTTTCCAGGACCATCATAGGCTAGTATGGAATATCACAAGACCTCCGAATCAACCTGGATTACGTCAAGTACAGATCTCTTTGGCTCTGGCCTTGAGTAGCGATGTCAGAGTCTAGGGTGGCCAACGGTGGATAAGGTGAAGCAAGGTGAGCAAACAGCCGAAGATCAGCCACGGCCAGCACCCCACTACGGGCACCTTTAAATTTTGCGCGGATCGCGTTCCTCCTCTTCTTCTTTTTCTTTTCTCCTTATGACCCTCTTCATTCAAGAAACCGTAAGTCCTCGCCGCGCACATATCACTGCATTGTGACAAGTTGCTAACATTCACCTCGCAGATGATGAGAACCGCGTGTTTAGTATGATGCAGTGCCTCCTCCCCGGACCTCGAAACCCTCTGCCTCTCGGGGCAGCTTAAGCGGTTTCGTGGCGAGGTGAGGTTGGTACCATGAAATGGGCGTTCGACACAGACCTTGTTACAAGCATCGGACGCGATGGAAAAAAGCTCTGACTTTTTATGAATGAAAGAGAGGATTCTTGTTTTGGTTCGTGCGGCTGGGGAAACTCGGCTTGCAGAAATTGAACTGTTTTGAAAGGTAGGTTTTTGTTTTTTGCGATTGAGGGAACTGGGGAGCAAGCCTCAAGTGAGGTTTTGCGTATATATATGTACTACGAATTAAATTGAACTGAATCTTGCATCTTATTTGTAATGACAAGCCTTGTGCCTCGCGACCTGCTGTTTTTGATAGAGTGAATGTGCCGTCCCTTGTCTAGAGCTGTATCAGGTGAAATGAGTTTTGGTGAGACGTGAAGAAGCGAAGAGATTATCGCACAAGCTACCAAACACGCATGCAAACGGCCACAAGCAGACTGTGTTTGTGCTACGTAAATGCCCAACGATGCCTCAATTTGCATTCCCCTCAGACTAAAAAGTCCCCAGATTTCTTCATCCTCGTGGAACATCGCCATCTCTGCAGTGGAGCTATCTTGGCGCAACCAAGTCCCTCTGAAATGAAAAAGACAGAAGAATCCATGGTGACGACATCAGTAGCGTCCCCTGGAATTACAGTGGGAGAGTAGCGCCCGCCCGTATCGGAGTCAACCACCTTTCCGGAGGACACGAGTTTGGAGTGTACATCGCGACATGGCCCAAAGCTGCTGGGCGGCACAGGTACCTCCCTATCATCCGCATCTCTCAGAATCTCCACCTTCTTGTCCTACAACCACCAAAGCCCAACCTCAAGTCAACGCCAACCCGAATAGCACACACCCCTCCCCTTGTCCTGCCACGCCCCAGAATCGTCCACGTCCCCCGGCGCGGATGCGGACACTCTCTCGTTGTCTCTCTCGGCCAATCTCTCTTTCTTCGTCCAAGACGCCTTCAAGATCTTCTTTTTGCGCTGGTCACTTTGAAGCGACCCGACACGCTCGTCTTCGCTCGTCTTCTGCAGCAGCAGCTCTTATCGTCATCCCAGCCTCGACCCCCCCGGATCCCCGGCCATCGTTCATCTGTCACCGTACCCCATCGCTCGTTGCAACGTCCGTCGTCTGAACTTTTTGTCCCTCCATCGCCCGGCGATTATAAGCTCGATACAGCTCCCGAGCTCCTGTTGGAATCATGTCAAGCTCCTTCGAAAAGTCCGTCAAGGGCGCAACGAAGATCAAGGTACGTGTGCGGTCTTGGCGGCGCGCTCTTGATGAGCCTAATATCGGCGGCAATCATGAGCCCAACCAATTTTCCTCGACGGGCGCTGGTTCTCACGATTCGACTTGGTACTGATACTGGATGCTATAGAATGCTCCCCCAAAAACGAAATACATCGAACATATTCTCGTAGCTACCCATTCCGGCGAAGCTGGCGTCGGCGAGGTCTTTCGCGCTCTCACATACCGTCTCCGCGATTCAACGTGGACCGTTGTGTTCAAAAGTCTAATTACAGTTCACCTGATGATCAGAGAGGGATCTCCTGATGTCACGCTCGCTTTTCTCTCGACGCATCGAAATGTGCTAGCAATTAGCAGCTTTACAGACGGTACGTTCCACGCAGGCCGAAAGATATATGGGCTTGGGCATTGACAGATTGGCAGCACAAATTCAAGGACGAAATATTCGACATTATGCCCACTACCTAGCTGAGAGAGCTCGCGCATACGAAAAGACGAAGACGGATTGGGTGCGCGCTTCTGAGTCAAGACTTGAGAAGCTTTCGGTTGAGAAGGGATTGTTACGAGAGACGGAAATCGTTCAACACCAACTTGAGGCTTTACTAAAATGCGACGTGAGTTGAGACCGTAAGCGAGGGAATCCTGAGACTGACAATCCCAGGTTATGGAGAACGAGCCAGAGAATGAAATCACCATAACTGTTTTCCGGCTGCTTGTCTTGGATCTGTTGGCACTATTTCAGGTACTCAACCAAGGGCTCATCAGCATTCTCGGTATGTTTGCCCCTCCCCCTCTGTCTCAGCCCGCCACTTTGACTAATTCCCATCCCTTCAGGTAACTTTTTCGAGATGTCAAAGGTGGATGCCGAACGTGCTATGGCCATTTATCGGAAATTCACGAAGCAAACAGACTACGTCGTCCAATATCTGAGCGTAGCTCGTCAGCACGAACACCACACTCGAGTCGAGGTGCCCAAGCTCAAGCATGCTCCTGTCAATCTTGGACGCCAGCTGGAGGAGTATCTTCACGATCCCGATTTCGAGGTCCACCGAAGACAATACTTGGCCGAGCAGGATGTGAAGAAGATTGGGGGAGGTTCAAGCTCGAAGCAAGGAGGTCTCAGCAAGAAGAAAAGCTCTGATTTCCCCGAACCAGCGTCCAACAACCCTTTTCCCAAGATTACGGCCTCTTCGAGTGGGAACAGAGCACCTGAGTCGAAACCGCAAGCCAACAAGGGCCCTGATCCCGATCTGATCGACTTCTTTGACTCTATCGAACAGAATCAGACACCGATGAGTATGAATCCCCAGCCTCAACAACAGGCTTTCCAGCAGCAACCGACAGGCATGCCGTTTCAACAGAACGGTTTTGCTCCTCAGCCTACTGGGTTTGCCTCCAACAGTCCATTCCAACAGCCTCAGCAGACTGGGTTCATGCAGCCGCAGCCTCAGATACAGCAACCCCAAATACAGCAACCCCAGATCCAACTACAGCCCGACTTCACTGGAGCCGGTTTCGGGGGCTTCACTCCTCAACAACAAGCCTTCCAACCAAGCTCACTCGCACCAATTCCTCAGGATACAATGGCCAGCTTTCCCAACGCTGCTCCTCAAATCCAACAACCTGTTCAGAACGGATCGCCTCAGGGTCTCCAACCGATGCAAACAGGAAGCACCAACCCCTTCCGCCAGTCTATGCTCATGGCTCAACAAACAGGGCTTCCATCATCTGCTACAACACCCGCTCTAAACCGCCAATCTACAAACCCATTCGCTCGAACATCACCACAGCAAAACACTTCTCCTTTCGCCCAAGCTTCAAACTCGCCTTTCCAATCACCCTCTCCTCAACAACAACAACCTGCTCTTCAACCTACACCAACCGGCACAAACCCCTTTGCTCGCAACTCCACGATGCCAGCGCCAAACCAAGAACAGCGTCCGCAAACTGCCGGCGCTGCTCTTGCTCCTCAACCGACCGGTACTACCAACCCCTTCCGAAACGGCGCCTTTGTCAACCACAACACAGGCATGGGATGGCAAGCCAACCAGCAGCCTATCGGGGGAGGCCTCGACCAACTTCCCACAGTACCTGTATTCCCTCGTCCTGCTCAACAGACACCCTGGCAGCAATAAGATTATTGAAGCAGCCGTTCCAAACCAAACAATCTTATCTTACAAGCTCAAATCAAAGACATAATTCACATCGCGTTTTTCCAACAGCGCCCTTTTGTTTCCGTTTCTTGGCTGTAACAGCCTCCCTTTCCATATAGTAAGCGAGGCGTTTTCGGGGGATGTGATTCGAAATGAGGATTGCAAGGCCACAGGATGAGCACGCAGGAGGATCCAGTATCCTTTCTGACATTGCCCTTCAATCCTCTCCTGGTGATTTTTCCTTTTGGATTAGTATAGTAGCAGTCATACAAAAATACAATTATCATCAAATTATTTGTCTGTATTCACTGTGTCTGGTGTATGTTCTCTGTAGCCATGGTATCGTGTCATTTTTTACCATCTTCAAAACTCCAGTTCCGTTATATCCCTCAGTGTCTTTTCCCAAACGCCCAAACTCCTTAGCTATGCCCGTTTAAACGACGAAAATCATTCTACTAGAACGGATCATCGACGTCCATTCTACCCCCCGTATCTCCCGTCACAGCAGCTTCTCTCGCGCCCGCTGTAGCAACACTCCTTTCAACCTTCTCCTCATCCACAAACACACCCAGCCCTGAAAAGGCCTCGAACAAAGCGCGAGTGAGATACTCATCAGGACTGTACCCTCCAGCCTTGAACTTGGGCTTCGTCCTTGTCTCCTCGACCCACTCGTTGCTATACAGCGCCAGTTTCTCCGGCGAAAGGTCAACGCGCTCTGGCATGACGCGCACGCCGCCGTACGGATCATACGGCTTGTTCTCCACAACGACTGCCTTCTTCTCGCGCAGTCCTCTGATAGAGAGACCGCTGCTTCCCGCGGCGCCGAGTGCTGCGTCTCGCTTGTTGTGTCCTCGCTTCTTGAGCATGATCTTGTCCATCGCTTCAGTCGCACGGCCCGTTTCTGCGCTTTGTAGCGAGTCGAGCATTTCCTCTCGGAAGCGCTTGGCGTTGGCCTTTTCTTCGAGCTCTTCTTGATGTTCACGTAATCGTCGCTGCCGTGCTTCTTCCTCCTCTGCTGCCATGCGACGTTGACGAGCATCGGCTGTTTCGCGCGCAAGACGTCTGTTGCGCTCAATGTCCGCCTTGTGCTTCACCTCCCACTCCCCAAGTTCCGCCTCAGCCTTCCTCCTCTGCTCATCGGTGCCATAGACGAGATCACACGTCAAAACCTCCACCCTCTCCAGGTACTCATTATAATCATCCAGCGTCTCAAAGTCCTCCTCAACCTTGTTAAACACCGCCGCCACCCGTCTCCTAATATCGACTTCACGCTCAACAGCAAGATCCGCGAAGAAAGCAGTCTTGAAACCGCGAAGACGGAGGGTCTTGTGGCAGCCAGCGTAGGGGCATTGGTTGGGGCCGTCTTTGAAGATTCGCTCGACGCAGGTCTTGCACATGCGGTGGTAGCACTCTGGATTGATGCGGAATTCCATGTCGCGGTTGAAGTAGCGTGTTGTCTTGCATACGGGACATGTCTCGTCTTGGTCTGGCGGTGGAGGCGCGTTGAGATCTGTGGCGTGGCGTATTGAGACGCCTGCGCGAGACATTTTGGCTGGCGAGTGCACGGAATGTGCGGTTGAGTGGAGGGGCGAGGTTGTCGAGAGAGGAAGAGGAGAGGAATAGCTTTGTTATGGTGAAGAAGTGATTAATCAGTGGCTAGTTACCTTATCAAATGTTGGTTCTGCACGGCTGACGAGACGGTGATTACAGGCTTGACGGCGCGTTTCCTATTGGTCAAAGCTCATACTAACGTGGCCCCACCTTGTAGCTGCCCCTCCATGAATTGTCAGCCTTCTCTCATAACCAACAGCTTCCATCGATTTCTCCCCTCAGAACATATCACAACCGCTTCAAAAACATCACCATGGCTGATAACGGTGAGTACCATTCTAATCACTCGTTCACTGGGTGGATATAGACAGATTCATCATGAGTTATAACATTCACACGTACTGACTCTCACAGAACCTACACCCGCAGAGACAGCCGCTGCCAACGCAAAGCAGGCCGAGGAGCAGGCTGCCCTCCCTTACAAGTGGACTCAGACCATCTCAGAGCTAGACGTCACCTTCAACGTACCCGGAAACCTCAAGTCGAGGGATCTCGTCATTACTATCAAGAAGCAGAGCCTACAGGCGGGTATCAAGGGCCAGGATCCAATCATCCAGGTACATACACAACAAAATCAAGCTACATCTCATACACCAACTAACCCAACAACAGGGCGACCTCCCCCACGCCGTCCACGTTGACGACTCTACATGGACGCTCAGTACCAACTCAGACGGCACCAAGACAGTTGAGATCCACCTCGACAAGGTGAACAAGATGGAATGGTGGGCGCACGTCGTCACATCCGCCCCCAAGATCGACGTGACCAAGATCCAGCCCGACAACTCCAAGCTCTCGGATCTCGACGGTGAGACCCGCGGTATGGTCGAGAAGATGATGTTCGACCAGCAGCAGAAGGAGAAGGGCCTGCCTAGCTCGGACGAGCAGAAGAAGGCGGATATCCTCAAGAAGTTCCAGGAGCAGCATCCCGAGATGGACTTTAGCAAGGCCAAGATCCAGTAAAAAAGTATATATATATATGACGGATCTCGCATTGAAGAATTAAAAAGACGTTTCATTTCGTTATTTGTTATGTTCTTTTTCATCTTGTTTCTAGAGCGATTGCTGCGCGCTCGAGAAAGGCGTTGAAGCTTTTCACTTGTTGGAGCATACCGCCTGCGGAGCTCGATGAGCTGGCTTCGTCTATGATGCGTGCGACGAGAAGCTCGAGGTTAGCCAGATCGGCCTTTTTCTCTTGCGCGCGTGAGAGTTCAGGGGCGTCTCGTCCCCGTTCGACTGCCATGTCTATATCATGCATGATCGCTGAGGTATCGAGTCGGTACTACAATTGTTAGCTGGTGTTGCATTAACGAAAAGCAGGGGACAACTCACTTTTGACTCTTTGGTGTCCTCTTCGTGCTTGATGCGTACAGCATCCATCTTGAGCGCGACTTGTTCCCTCTCTGCTTTGAGACGTAATATCTCTTCTCGTAGTGAGAGCTTCTCTCGCTGCACCAGACGAACACGCTTCCGTAATGATTGCCAGTCCATGAGGTGAATTGACTAAGTTGTCAGTCCCAATGCTTCCATGCAGGGCGAAACAACTTACCAATTGTAACAATCGAGACGTGAGCTCCTCCTTATACGCCTCAAGTGCTCGTATCTTGATCCGACATTCCTTCTTCTTATCTTTCTCCTCGGTGTTCTGTAACGCTTCCAAGAGCTTCGCTATCGTACCGTCGATGACTTCTAAGCAGGCCTGTGCAAAGACATCCACCGCTGTCACTCCAGTTGTAGTAAAAGGCAAATCTGCCGCAAGATGATCTTCTCCGTCTTCTTCGTCGCCCTTGATGAACTTCTTGACGTTGACGAAGCGCTGAACTGTGACCTCGATTGCTGAACCATCACTGACTCGGCGCTCTTTGGCGGCTTGTTTCGTCCTGCGGACCTGTTTTGGTAGTGGTTTTTCTTGTGATGTCCGTGATTTCGATTTCGTAGGCTTTGGTTTGGTGGCTGGTTGTTTCTGTGTCGCAGGGCTTCTCGATGGCCGTCCACGACGTCGTTTCGCTGCTGGTTCTTCTTGCTCTTCTTCCCCTTCTTGTTCGTTGGGTTCAGCGACGGGCGATTGAGATGGTAGACTTCTTCGAGGCCGTTTTCTTCCAATTGTCTTGGCCGCTTCAACTGCATCGATAGCTTCCGCTGCCTCTTCGTCCTCCTGTGGTTCCTCCTCTGCTACGGGCTCCTCTTCAACTTCCTCCACTTCAGGTTCTGCTATTTCTGTAGCATCATCCGATCGTTCATCATCCGCAGGTGCGTGGTCCACTCGATTTGGCGAAAGTTCATCCTCATCGTCATCGTGCTCAGCAAGCCTCGAAGGTTGCCTTTGTGATAGTCTCGACCGAATTACGGCGGGACCTTCACTCCGTCGCACCTTGCTGACCAGCGGCGATGAGGAAGGCGGCGCATCGTCATCTTGTAGCGTCGTGTGTAATCGTGTCGTTGACGACATGGCTTCGCTCGTGCGTACGTCCTGTCGCTTGTTCGCAACATCTTGCGCAATCTGTTCCAACGACCTACGGCCTGCCCGTCGTTGCGATGGTTGTTCGGAGGGTTCATTATTCGGTAGCGCCGGCAACTCAACGTCAGCTTCGTTCTCGTCTGGCGCTTCGATTTCTGGACTTGGTAATTCAGGTTCTGGCTGTGGCTCTGGTTCGAGCTCCTCCTCGGGTTCTGGTCCTGGTTCTGGTCCTGGTCCTGGCTCTTCTACAACATCCAGGCTCGGCTCTTCCTCTCGCGATTCACCTGTCGTATCCTGCGCGCCAGATTCCTTAGATGTTTCTGGCAAATCGTAGGGGTCTCTCAATCGAGGCGATCGTCTCCGTGCGCTTCCTTGTGCTTGTGCAGACGGCGGTGGCTCGTTATCCAATCTTCTCCTCTTAGCAGAAGTATTTGGCGTTCGGCGCTCCGATGATGTGGGTGGTGCTGGCGCAGGTGCGGCGGGAGTCGAGCCAGCTATGTTGAGGCCAGCGATGTCGAGGTTGAAGGAGTCATCTTCTATGTTGGCACGCCTTGAGTCGCATTAGCACAGACACCATGGTCATTCCTGAAGTAAGTTCATACTGGGCACCTCGTAGACGCTCGTTCAGCCGATCAGCGCGGCGCTGTTGGCCTATTTATTGTGTTAGCGACTTGATTAATTGCTTGATGGGAATCGCTATGGGCATACCTGTGGCCATTGTGAGACAAAAGCGCACCTATATCTTTCTCTGCGCATCAAATTTCATGCAGAGTTAGTGTTTCTGTTAAATGCGCTGGTGGTGGTGTAATTGGGCGGTTTTAATTGTGATGTTGATGGAGCAATGTTTGGATATGCTTGTGACGCGTGGGGTGAGACGCGTTCTAAAGCCGCGGGGCATCGAAGCAATTAATTGACTGATGGGCCAAATTGGCCAACCAATGTTCGTCTACAAGACAAAGACTTGAACATGATATTATACAGTATTCCTTGAGTTTTTACGTGTATTATAAATTTGTAAGATCTGCATAACTTCTCCCATTTCAATTACGGGGATTTCTGCTATCAACCAAGTAAACAAAGACCCAAGACTTTTATAAGACGGCCAGCCGTCATCAGCCGGGTATCATTAGTATTCTATATCCTTTCCAGTCTATCCTTGATATAACTCTCCTGCTTGACAGAGATCAACGCCTTTTAAACATGCCCCAGTCCTATGTACACGATAACAGCTGAGGCCTAGTTCATAGGAATCCACTGCATCTTTTCTGTGTCGAATCGGTGACTAGTCCCTTGTCAGTTCTCATGGACACGCATATACGTTGCATTGAAAGATCATACTCATGGTAATCAGTCCTCGACAATGCTCCCTTGCCGTATTCCGAAGCCAGGATCTCCTTGTACCTGTACGGAACCTTGGCTTGAACACCTTCAAAAGTGGTGTCTAGTAGAGGAAAGATGTACTTGTCCTGTCACATGAAGCTTTAGCACAAGGCAACGATCATTGCCATATATACGGTACGCACCTTGAACTCGTGGTCATGCTTGTCGTACATGACTCCTTCACCCATCTCATGCCCTGGGTCATACCGCGCCGCAGTGATGTCAATAAACAGGCCATTCTGCATATCGATCCACCGTGCATCAATGAAGTTCATATAATCATCCCTCTCGCGATATTTATGATACGGGTTGATCTCCAACTGAAAGAAGCAACCCTCCGGACAACCATCATACTGGTAGTAGTAGATAGTCATGTTATGATAGGCGGCGAGGAAATACATGTCTGCCTCAGTAACTGAGACATCAGCGTCTAGGTCCCATGGCATGACCTGAGAGAATCCTTTCGGTTAGAGTGGACATGTGAAGTTATGGACATCCGTTTTATTTCTCACCTTCTTTCCCCACCACCAGCCGAGAAGGGAGCCATGCATTAACCAGGTCTGGACTCCCAGATCTCGAAATGTGGCTAGGTATGTCTGCATGAGGACTTTGATGCCTGCATTTTGATCCTTTGGCTCGAGGGCTTCACCAAAATATCTCAGATCATAGTGGGGATATTGTCTGAGCGAGTAAGCCCTTGTTAGTATTGGCGTTTTGTTGGTTGTTGGTTGGTAACTCACGATGCTTCCCCTGCAAGTTTCGTTAGTCAAAGACCTTCTCGTTTAGGATACGATGACCAATTCCATTGGACATAAGAGTGAACTTACTAAAGTATTTCGGTGGAGGAGCGTCTCTGGTGGGAAGTTTCTGTTCAATCTTTTGCAGAACGTCGGGGACTCCAAAGGCACTAGCGCTGGTGATCCAACCCAGGGCAACGGCAATGAATGCCGATAGTCTCATGTTATATCCGTATTCCAGTGACTGTCACTACACGTGGTCGTCGAGACTCAATGGTCAACGCGTATAGTTCAGTTTAGGTTGGTTACGTGGACTCTGTGGTGATGTTTCTGGAGATCTGCAGGGGTAGACTAGAGGCTCGCTCGCTCGTAGGTTGGCTCGTAACTTGAAAGGGGGCGTGCGGCAATGACGTTTAGATTGGGAAGCCAGTGAGAGATTACTTAAATCGAAGCATTACCTAGTGAGTATTATGTTCATGAGAATATAAGAAGATGCAGAGCGTGTGTGTGCTTGGTGTTGAGAATGATGAAATTACAGTCTGCACGACTCAGTGAGCGTACAGACAATTAATTGTTTGATGTTCCCTACTATCCGACCCGTGGCTCCCACACATCCGATGTACAGGTCCGCGTCACCAGCTGAAATCATATCGATAAGACAGACAGACTGTCTGTTTTGTCTCTATCTCTCAATACGTCACAACAATTTATATAAAATATATCAACCTCTCTGTAGGCATTCATGATGGAGGCGCACGTGTCCGGAAATGGCTGTAGATGTGGCGTCTTAAAATGTATCTTCATGCCTTGTAAATTCAGTTCTGAGTTCAGTCGCTGGCACTGACGCAAGCTCAAATGCTGCCCCAGACCCAGACACGCACACTTTAAGGTTGCCCAGTCTAGACTGCCCGTCTCCACCTCCTCCTCCATCATCGCATCGCCAAGCTGAAGCTCAGCTGCCTAAGCTCCCTCATCTTCAACCTCCACTACTCCGTAGCCTTACCTTATACCCGGCTACTTGTCATCTTCAACCCCTCCCCATCAAACCAACTATTCCACCTCGCTTCTCGTGTCCCTTTCTTCTCTAGAGTCGCTCGACGCAAACGCACCAAAGGTCGATACCTCCTTTTCCCGCCCTTGACAATGGGCGCGTGGAACGTACGTCTGCGAAACATCATGCATTAGCAAACCGACAAAACTGACAACACCCATAGCTCTTCCGTGTCCTGGGCGACTTGTCCCACGCCCTCTCCAAATGCATCCTCATCTTCGCTATCCATCGAAACAGGAGCGCTGAGGGCGTCTCCCTCATCACGCAGATCCTCTACGCCCTCGTCTTCTGCACACGTTACCTCGACCTCTTCATCGAGACGGTACCATGGAACATCGTGTTCAAGATCTTCTACATCATCTCGTCTATCTACATCCTTGCTATTATGCAATGGATCTACCCTCGATCGCGTGAGCGTGAGATCGCTTGGAAGATTGGCGCCATCATCCTTGGTGGCTCATTTGTCCTGTCTCCATTCGTCATGCTCATCTTTGAGAGCCACAAGGGTTTCCGACCTGTATGTTACTGTTGCCTAATAACCTCGCCATCACTAATAGCTTCTAGTGGATGTGGGTGTTCTCTCAGATTCTCGAGTCCGTCTGCGTTCTCCCCCAGCTTCTCCTCCTTCGACAAACAACCGTCCCCACGGTTATCGACTCCTTCTACCTCGTCGCTCTCGGTTCCTACCGCGCCCTCTACTGTGTCAACTGGTTCATCCGCGAATTCGAGATCTCCGGCAAGAAGCCCAACACCGTCTCCGTCATCTTCGGTATTATCCAGACTGCCCTGTACATCGACTTTGCTTGGGTCTACTACACTCGCCAGCGCGTCAAGCTTCGAGGTGGCGGCATTGTCGACGCCGACGATATGTCCCGTGGATGGCTCCTCCGCCGAATCTTTGGAAAGCGCTTCGAGAACAACGACGACGATGAGGAGAGCGGCCCTGGTGCATTTGAAGATGAGCAGGGTGGCCGACGAGGAGCTCGTCCCAAGTGGGGAGCTCGTGGTATCTCAGTCAGTGCCGATGACGGCGTCCTTGAGCAGGACCGACACAACCGTGACCAGGACGAGTTCGGCGGTCCAGTCGACCCTGACGCCAAGATGCAAGATCCCGATGAGCTTGCGCGAGCTCTCGACGACGATGATGATGAGCAAACACCACTACGACCTGGACAAACAGAAGGCCAGCCCAGCGGTCTTCAAGGCGGCGAGGGCTGGCGGGACTAGGATACCAAGCTTCCACGCCAAACTACAGCTTACATCACTTTTACGAACGCGAGTATGAACTCGAACGGAGTATGACGGATTGTTTACTTGGAATGTCTTGAAAGGTCTGCAGCCATTTTAGTGCCACGTCTGATGCGATGGGATGTATGGGACTGCGTTAGAAGAAGAGAGGGACTGTGATCTGGTCTTGGTTAGCTAGCAATGTTTCTAGGGGTAATCATGGGCCAAATTTATGTACACATAGCGGGATTCTAACACTACCAATCTCAAGAGGAGATGAATTGGAATTAAGTCACTTTAAGATCATGCACGTCACATTGCGATTTGAATCAAAGAAGGGGTCCATGTGTGGATATCATTCAGGCAATAACCATGCCCATTCCTGCGCTCAAAACCAACGCAGTTTTGTTGAGACAATCCCATCCCTTTCCACCATCGCCACCATGTCCTTCAAGGACTACCAACCAACGAGCAGCTCCCAACAATTCGCGCCATCTGACAAGGAATTTTTCCAGTCCCGTCTTTTGCAACTCCCATCAGCAGCATCCCAAGCTGCGAGAATAAAAACTCCGATGATAAAAAGAATACAAAAAGCTAAACCGTAGCGAATGGAAATGAAAAAAAAGGTCATATACTAGTAATAACATAAACGTCTTGAAACCATAGGGTATTTCCTTCAATGGACGAAGCGCTTCTCGAACTCTGCAAATAGCTTTGGTGTGATTTCATCGCTGCTCATGCCCTCAATCTCGACGAGCACGCCCTTCTGGGCGTAGTGGTTCAGAACAGGCTCGCTGGTCTCTTGGAACTTCTTGTATCGTGCTCTGTAAACTTCCTCGGAATCATCAGGGCGCTGGATCAGTCGCTCACCGGTGACGTCGTCGATTCCAGGGACTCGGGGCGCATTGAAGCTGGTGTTGTAGACTCGGCCGGAAGGCTCGTGGACCCAACGGCCGAGGATTCGCTCGAGGATAACAGATACGGGAGTCTTGAGCGAGACTACGAGATTGATCGGGATGAGCTTGTCGAGAGGACCGACTTGAGAAGCTGTTCGGGGGAAACCATCGAGTATGAACGAGGCGGAGGGATCGTTGGAGGCCTTGGAAGGACGGTGGCCGTCGAGGAACGGAGCGTTGATGAACGGATCAGAAGCAGCGCTGTTGAAAGAAGCCTCCATCGCCGTCGCTTCAGAATTAAGCGTCATGACATTCGGACCTCCATTCTTGGCGAGCCATCCCCGAGTGAAGAATTCGTTGGAAATAAGTCGCAGGATAAGATCATCAGCAACAAGTCCGCCCGCCTTCATCGTATTCTCGACCTTGATGCCTATACCACCATTAGCATTATTCCGCCTAAATGCACCAATTGAGGGGGAAATCCTACCGAGGGGTGTCCTCTCCTTGACATTTCGACGCAAGAGATCACCGGTACTAATCTGATTGAGCTGAGGAAAGCGAGCGAGCAATCGCTCGCTCTGAGTCCCTTTACCAACGCCAGGTGCACCGAAGAGGATGACGCGAGCGGCCTTGTTCAGGTTCATTCTAGGCGACCTGTAACGATTGAGGCCGTCGCGAGTTTTGAAACAATTGAGAACGTCGGAGCAAAAGAAGTATAAAGTTGCGCTTCTATGCGATGAGGGAAGAAAAAAAGGTTGTAGGGCGGATCCAAAAATGTCGTTCGAGGTTTAATTTCTTGTTGAGGGTCGATGGGACGATACTTTCGGAGATGGCGCGGGGAGATTGTTGAGTTCGGGGAAAAAGAAAGCACCAGCGGGAACTAGGTAGTTAATTGTATAAGGGGGATAAGGAGGTCGAGGGAGCGGAAATGATGGAATAAGCAGCCTTGGATTACAAAACAACAGAGAGTGATGGATTTGATTTATAACCAAGAAAGAGGGAAAGACGAGATGCGTTGAGTTGAGGAGCAAGGTTGGAAGTGGGGGGGGGCTTATGTAGTGTAGATAGGGCGAGGCAGCGCTGTTGGTGTTGAGTCCAAGTCGCAAGCGCGGTACTTGAAGCTTGCGCTGTAATTCAGCGATGCTACAGGTACCGTTCACTGAAGATGGTGTGGACCGTGCGATGGAGGTAACGAACGGTCAGGGTGGGCAGGGACCAATTCTCGACGGGTGAATCTTGATGACGGAGTCTATAACCGTGGCGTGCCGTCTCTAACATTCATACTTTCAACGGTTTCTTCGTGTTTTATATAAATTTATGGAATACAAAGTATTACCGGGACATTTCGGGCTCCGGATGATGTGGCATATGATGAATGGGGTGGTAAGAGAATCGGTGGTTCTGCCTTAAGTCCGGTACGGGCTTTTGCGATGGAAACAGAAAAATAGAAGGGGACGGTTAATTATCCCGTGTCATTTCAAGGTGTCATTTGTCGATCTGGGGAAATACCTGTAAAACGTGCACCTCCTTCTTGGCGCCGTTGATCCGGTGCATGCAGCATCTTCGCTCAAAGTCCGAGATCGCTGTACGACCTCGGCAGCACGACCATTTCCTTGTCCATAACAGAAGATATTCGAACTCGGAGAGAATACTCGAGTCTCGTTTCGTTCTAGAGTGCACCCTAGAAACAGTTGGCGTTAACGGCATTCCCAAGAAATGATGATGCCTAACTTAGCACGTGTGTTACTCGCGAACCAATCAAGCTTGTTAGATTTGGTTTCCAAGAACCCCGGATTTTCCAAGGCGATGGACGGACACCTCGGCACACGGCATTACAAGCCACTGTGCATACCCGTCCAAGCGAGCGTGCCGTCATCGTGGTAACGTCAGCTTTAGGGTAGATAGAGCCAGCTCGATAGATGAACTGACGGAGAGCAGAAACCCGCGCGACATTCTATTATTAATATTTAGAATAACTGATCTAAAGTATCCTAAGCGAATCCTAAGATTGCCTAAAGTGATCCTAAAGTGATCCTAAATTTACCTAAGCATTTTTTTACCTTACGATCGTTGTCTCGAGTTTTGCCTCATCGCGAGCACGGATAAAGTAAGTCCGTCACCAGGCACGACGCAACGGTCTGCATCTATTACTATTACGGCTCTAATCTAATCTGTTCAGTAGTGATTTCAACAACAAGAAGAAATAAGGATAATCGCCAGCATTGAAATGCATATGAAAGGCATAACCGCCCAATCACCGAAGCGTCCCATATTGGTACTGCTCTCTGGAATGCTTGAGCAAGAGCCTCAGAGACCAATTGGAGAATGGCTTATCCTCGATGAAGCACATGCAATTGAAAATCGAGAGAGCCGTACCTAACATTCTATTTCCAGCTCTTAGAGTCCAGTTTGACAGCTGTCTAAGGATGACAGGCACACCGCTAGACAACAAGCGGAATGATGCATACGCCCTGATCAGTTTGCTCCGTGGCCATTCGATCACCAGCTCCTTTCTCTTTCCGGCAGCGTTTATCAAGAGCTTAACTTCAGGACCTGACTTCCCCGAAGGCTTCCACAGAGAGAGATACATCCAGATGCTCAACGCCTGTAGCCTTCGTCGGCCACATATCACGGTTCAACAGGAGCACCGAAGCGCATTGTGACTTTCACTCTCAATCCAGATGATCGAAAGCGGTCCAACGACGCCTACCAAATGTTCAAGAAGGCCAGAAGACCTGGTAGCAAGCTTGCGGGCTGGAATTTCTTATACAGGCCCAGCAATACGCATACCACCCTATGTTGATTGAGCTCAAGTTTGAGAGAGATTCCTTGGCTAGGGCCATGCGCCGCAACAAGGCCATGGACGAAGGCGACTAAGCAGCGACAATCCAGCTCGTTAAATGGAAGGAACGACTGGAAAAGGACGAGAACTGGCCTTGTCTCGTCGAGTGAGAGTCATCACAGATGTTGTCGACCAGCACAAAGATCGGCATCCTGACCATTCATTCTTAATTGTAGATGAGAGTATCTACTCCTTAGACATGTCGAAGTTGCCCTCAAAAACAGGTCTAAACTAGAATTGCAGCTCGAGTACAAGGGGCTGCTAGGTTCTATCGACAGACACTACGTTATCAAGAGGGCTTTTGAGGCTGAGCCTTCCCAGGTCATACTTGCCATCAGGGCTACAGGAGGACGGGGCCTCAATCTCCAGTGCTTCAATACCGTTATCTAATGCGGGTGGTGGCATGAGAGGTTCAGATGCGTCCCAGAGGGCACTGGGTTTCTTCATCCCGAGTGCCAGAAAGATTTAGGTAAGTTTATGATAGCTTAGGGTAATTTAGGATAGTTTAGGATAACTTATGATAAACTTAGGATGGCCTTTGATGAGTTTATTCTTACCCGCGGCCGAGCAAACGAGCGCGCCGTCATCGCTATAACTATAGTTGCTCAACTCCCAACGAGCTTACTGAAGACATGCCCTCCTCCGACGGAACATACCATCATATTATTGAGGAAATGTCTCATCCCATTCACCTCAGTTATTTGAAGCCAGCTTAACTCGTTGACGGTGACCTCAAACTTGATGCTTGAGAGTTTCAGGGGCTCTGTCACCCCGTTGTGGTAGCGGAAGTTTCTCCATGGTCGGCACATATGAATCTCGACGTGGAGGGCAGTCGACAGAGACACAATCTGGACTACCTAGGCCCTGACATGCGGATAAGCCCCTTCCCACTTACCATGGGCAATCTGGGTCATTCTGTGTCGGGGGAGACTGACTCCTTGAGGGAAGGAGTCTGTGTGGAAGATGTTGACCTGGGCGCGGAGACGGGGTACCTGGGCTGGGTCCAAGTTGAACTGCGCACGCACGAACTGCGAAAATAGTTTCATACCCTGGCTTGAAGTAAAAACGAATATGACTCGGTGGAAAACCTCAACAAGATACTCCTGGCGCAGGCTAGAACCTGGGTGATTGGGTGCGTAAGGTAGGGTGGCAGTCCTGTCACGTCGACAGGGCATAAGAAACGGCCATGGTGATCCTGTTGGAAGCCGCGGGTTGTAGACTCGATTTCTACCATCTTTCCGTATATGCTCATTCGAATCTCGGGGATCAGAAGGGCGCCTTTCACATCAAGCAGGGACTCGCGCTGAGGGGCGGTTGGTGTGATGCCGATACTGTGTGAGTTTGCGCCTCGCTCAAGGCGGCTGGAGAGAGCTGTCAGCTTCAAAGGCATGATATAACATGGAGTGAGCGAACTTACGCTTCCTCATGGTGGCATGACGGTCGGCAGACTGTTCAAGTTGCACGTGTCGCGTTTGATCTATGCACAGGTCAGAGGAGCTGATCGGTCAGTCATCGCAAGCATCGGGGGCCTGCGAGCTTCAAATTGATATGAAGCGCATGAATTGGTTGATCAACTTACCAGCTCTTATGTGGCGATGTGACCGCAGTAGTGTCACCGACAGGGCGATGTCGAGAGGGATTGTGTGTTGACTGAAGAGGAGAGGAGAAATTTGAGATGTATAAAGGAAGAGAGTTTCTGTGTCGAGAAGAATTGCAATGCCAGGTTAAGTATATCACTAACAAGGACCGTGAATCACCGTCATCGTGAAGAACGACCAGAGACACTGTCACCAAGTGACCCAGATTTCTTTAATCCTAAATACCAAAAAGAATTAGGCAAGATTATAATATTTTAGAGTATTTTAGGATAATTTAGGATAACTTTAGGATAAATTTAGGACCCTCATTCGCGAGTTTACTTTAAACGCAGCAAGAATGCCGTCATGAATAAGAGTGTCTCAGTGATGCTGGTCGTGAAGACGGACAACAGATGGAACCAAGGGAGCGTGTCAATGACAAATAAGGTCCGTACATCTCAAGCCTCAATGATAATAAAGAAATCGGAATTGAGCCTAAGGTTGCGGGAAGATAATGCGGAGCGGCGCGGCCGCCGTAAGTTGCGGTACAGATGCGGCCAAAGCTCTGTCGTCGTCAACAAGTGAAGAACTGCCACTCAAATTAAGCTTATTTTTGAGCTTCTTGTTATCAGATTCACAGCCACTTTGTTGAACTCCGCCCATTCGTACGTCCTGGCATCCCGTCGCTGGCGATGATACCGTGAAACAGTCAGTCAATATCTTTAAAGCCCAGAATTATAGAGAAATGACATGTTAAAAACAACATCACTTTTCACAATTGCCGTGCATGTTTCCCGGGCATTCAATCGTGGGGTGTTGCACTCCATAAGAGATCAGCGGAATAATGTCCCCATTGACTAACAAGCCATCGGGATGTGGACCACCAACCTCACGGCTAACAATTCTCTTTCTTTTATTCCTCCAACAGTCACGTTTATAACTCCCGGATGTTATCCGATCAATCAGTCTTGGCAGACGAGTACACCCACTACTGGTGACACCTCCATCGTACAAAGCACCCAGACATTCGGTACAAGAACGCATGGTTCTGTCCTTGACCGTCATGGGATTTGCAAGTCTGGCTAAAAGGGCCGAAAACTTATATGGGCTCCCCGCATGTTTAAACGGTTTAGAGCCTGCCCCGTCCCCAGATTATCCCCGCGTTGGACCTCTGCATCATGAGCATCACGGGGTTTTTAGTCATGAACCACCAGGTTTTTCATCGGGCTATATTCTTGGCATTGCGGGTACCGGTCCTCTCATCTGGTCTTTTCATTTGACGAACTGTGTCGGAATGAGCTGCGATTGGGCCGGGTTAGTGTCAACGGTTGGGTTTGTAAGTTCCGGACTTGAGTTATAGCTCACGGAAGCTCGATTCTTTGTGAAGTGAGGTTAGACTGAGAGAAGCAAGGATTCAGAAGGTCGGTCCGAATCAAGTTGATGATGATGGAGTTTGCGATGGCCAAGATGGTGAGAGTGTAAATGAATGACCTCGGATCTGCTAAAACTTCGGGATATGGAGAGTTGTTGATGAAGAGTGAGTGTATATAAGATGAAGTGATGGACCGGATATTCGCATAGAGCCAGTCAATTCACAGACTCGGATTCCTATCTATCTCTCTTCTACACCTTAATCATGTGGTCCAGTCTCCTCCTCATAGGAGGCGTGTCTTTGAGCATAGCCAACCCAATTGTTCGACAAGAAGCCAATCCTCCCTACCGAAACAAGACTCTATGTCTTGACAAGCGTGTCGATGACCTCATGTCACGCATGTCCCTTGAGGATAAGGCAGGCCAGATGTTCCACGGCCGTACCGTGGTGGTCAACAACACTTTTGATGAGACCATTGAGGAGTTTGTCACAGGCAAGCGCATCACTCACTACGTTCTCAGCGGGGGTGTCAATGATGTTCGAGGTGTTGCAAATTGGTATAATAAGCTACAGAGGCTGGCGATGAGTACACCCCTTGGTATCCCCAGTGAGTACTACTGCGTTGTGACTCCATCAACTCCTAAGCATACTGACGACTTGTTAGTCACAATTAGCAGTGACCCACAACACGGCTGGACAGACGAGAATGCTGTTTCGGTTGTAGCACAGGGCTTCTCCCGCTGGACTGAGCCTCTTGGTCTCGCTGCGCTGCGATCACCAGAGCTGGTCCGTCAGTTCGCTGAGATCGCACGTGAGGAGTACGTCGCTGTTGGTATCCGACAGGCACTGCATCCTCAAGTCGATCTAGCTACTGAGCCACGTTGGGGACGTATCACCGGTACCATGGGAGAAGATGCCAACCTCACCAGTGCCTTGATGGTTGAATACATCAAGGGTCTCCAGGGTGACAAGATCGGCCCCAACTCGGTCATCGCGACCACTAAGCATTTCCCCGGCGGTGGTCCAATGGAGGATGGAGAGGACTCTCACTTTGAATGGGTAAGTAATAGTCCATCTTATGGTCGAACAATTGCTGATGTTGAGTTGTAGGGCAAGAACCAGACTTACCCTGGCGATAACCGAGACTACCACTTGATCCCCTTCAAGGCCGCCATCGCAGCTGGTACCCGTCAAATGATGCCCTACTACTCCCGTCCCATCAACACCTCATGGGAAGAAGTCGCCTTTGGCTTCAACAAGGGCGTCGTTAACGATCTCCTCAAGAAAGAGCTCGGCTTCGACGGTATTGTCGTCACCGACTGGGGTATCGTCACCACCCGATTCTGGGGTCTCGAAGACCAAACCGAGCTTGAGCGCGCTCGTCGCGTTCTCGAAGCTGGATGCGATATCTTTGGTGGCGAGACCAAGCCCGAGCTTATCATCGAGCTCGTCAACAAGGGTCTCATCTCAGAAGCCCGCATTGACGAGTCTGTTCGTAAGCTTTTGAAGGAGAAGTTTGAGTTGGGTCTTTTCGATAATCCCTTCGTTGATGTCGACAAGGCTGAGCGCATTGCTGGAAACGACTACTTCAGCCGTCTTGGAAACGAGACGCAGCGTCGTGCATTCACTCTTCTCACCAACAAGGATGATGTCCTACCTCTTCCTCTGTCCGCTCTCAACGCCAAGTTCTACATCGAGGGAATTGAGCCCGAGGTCATGGAATCCCGCAATCTCAGCGTCGTCGAGAACCCAGAGGACGCAGACTACGCATTCCTGCGCTTGGCTTCACCTTTCAAGCCCACCACAGCGCCCGGTCTTCCTGCCATGATCAACAACGGCAGTCTCGAGTTCAACACGACTGAAAAGGCTCGCCAGGCCAAGATCTACGCGACACTGCCAACTGTCGTTGACATCAGACTCAACCGACCTGCCGCAGTTCCTGAAGTCGCTGAGCAGGCTGTTGCGCTGTTCGGTAGCTACGGCAGCAGCCACGATGCATTCTTGGATGTTGTCTTTGGAACAGATGGTTGGGGGCCTGAGGGGAGACTGCCTTTTGATCTGCCCGTGTCTCAGGAGGCTGCTGATGCGCAGAAAGAGGACGTGCCGTTTGATGTGGAGGCGTTGTTTAAGTTTGGCCATGGATTGAGGTATAAGGATACGTGTGATAGTACATAGTTGGTGGTAATGAGATGAAATGATGGTGCGATGATATGTAATGACATAGCTTTACCTTGATAAAGGGGCTGTAATTAAAATGAACTGTTTGCGTATACATGATTGCTTGATGATGCACCGACGTCTGAGTAGTGACAGTGAAGGCTGGGTTTAGTGGCTGTGGTGTACCAACTGCAATTATTTTCTCACCAGGTGAATGATACAGTCAATTAATTGACATTCTGTTTGTCAAGAACATGTCAATAACGCATCAGACTTGAGCCATGTCTGGCCGTAAACACAGAGTGAGACTGTCTTGGCTAATGAATGCAGGTTAAATGGCCCGGAAATACTGAAACCAATCAAAACATAAATGGAAACAGTTCAAGGCGTCAGAGCCTATGTTTCATAATCTCCGAAGTGACTGGCCAATGCTGACCTGCCAACTCAGACTGCAACTCAAGCAAATGAGGCCCTTTCTACTGCCAATATCTACAGACCACATCACATCACATATACTCGGCTAAACGATTGCGGTAAATTCGAGCATCGACAGCGGAGATAAGAGCGGGCTTTATCCATCCATTGTTGAGACCTGTCACATGCAGGGGAGGGGGAATTCGCAAAAGAACTTCTCCCTCTCTCCATCTCCCAACAAAAGGATACACTCGGCACTACCGGACATCACGTGATGCTCTGTTTCTTCTAGATTCTGTTGACGCAAGCCCCCTGTAAATCGCAAGCAGAGCGCAGGGATTGGATGCATTCGCTGTAAGCCCTGCCGGAACAATAGTGAGCCCGGGTCCCGAATGCGGCGAACCCCGGTCGGCGGGAAGACGGAGCTAGCCTGCTCTGCGCTCATCCATTGATCCAATCCCATCACCACGAGCACTGCTATTCCATTATTGTACGGCTTGTTCTATACATCACCACACCCTTTTGCCATTAGCGGGCTCTTGGAGAATCTCGACTTTGCATCCACTCCCGTCCCTTTTCTTCATTATCTCCGACCTCAAACTTATCTCGCTCTCTTCTGTTTTGCCGTACCATTTTGGACCCTTGATATCTCGATACGTTGCGCCCAAGATCACGAAATTATACTCTACACCCTATCCGCCACATCTGATCCTCCCTCTACTCCCGACTTCTGCTCGCAATGAGCGCTTCCTCCAATGTCGCTCGCCGGGCGGTTGCCCGGAACCCTTTGATGGGCAATGGTGAGCTCACATCGCCTTTCTGATGAGGTGTCGTTGTACGTCCCCTGCTAACCTCTCTCACCCAAAGCCCGAGCTCTCTCACGGGGTGTCACTCCTGCCCTCCTCGGTCGCCACGTCAGTCGTAACGTCAAAATCCCTGCCATTGCTCTGTTGATCCCTCGATCGATGAGTACCGATCATCACCGACACGACCCCAGTTCTTCTGGCCCGCCCCCGGGATTCAATGCCGAACAGGCTAAGAAGCCGCTTCCCAAGGATTCCACAGGCTCTGTCGTTGCAAAGAAGGAGGACAAGAAGCTTGACCCGAACACCAAGGACGCTGCTCTGTTGAAGCCCGCCGATGCCTCTGCCGAAGCCAAGGCTGATACAGAAGTTGTTGCCACCAAGGAGGGTGTGATGGAGAAGGGCGATGCTGCTCAGAAGGCCAAGGAGGAGAAGAAACTTACTCTCTGGGAGAAGGTCAAGAAGGAGGCTCACCACTACTGGGATGGATCTAAGCTGCTCGTCGCTGAGGTCAAGATCAGCTGGCGATTGGCCCTCAAGATGGCTGCCGGATACGAGCTCACCCGACGCGAGAACAAGCAACTTCAGCGAACAGTCCAGGATCTTGGTCGTTTAGTGCCCTTCTCCGTCTTCATTATCGTTCCCCTGGGTGAGGCACTTCTGCCTCTCGCCCTCAAGCTCTTCCCCAACATGCTCCCCAGCACATTCGAGGGACAAAAGTCAAAGGAGGCCAAGGCCACACTTCTCCGATCCACACGCAAGGAAGTCTCTCAATTCTTAAGACAAACGCTCGGCGAATCTGGCTTGCCAGTGAGTCAAGCAACAACACAAAAAGAGGAGTTCTCCAACTTCTTCCGCAAAGTCCGCGCCACTGGCGAGACACCCACAGCCGAGGACGTTATCAAGGTCTGCAAGGTCTTCCGTGATGATTTGACCCTCGACAACTTGTCACGACCTCAGCTCGTTTCCATGTGCAAGTACATGAACCTCAACACATTCGGTACCGACATGATGCTCCGATATCAGATTCGTCACCGCATGCGACAGATCAAGCGCGACGACAAGGCCATCAGCTACGAGGGCGTTGACAGCCTGACTGTTGCTGAGCTCCAGGCTGCTTGTGCTGCCCGAGGTATCCGAACACACAGTGTCTCCCCCGCCCGCATGCGAGCGGACCTTCAGACTTGGCTCGATCTCCGACTCAAGGAGGGTGTTCCCTCAACACTCCTCGTCCTGAGCAACGCCTATATGTACGGCCAGGGCTCAGGTGAGGGTTACAACCAGATTGAGGCTCTTATCGGCGTCATGTCCGCCATTCCTGAGGAGCTGTACCACGAGATCGAGCTTGAGGTGCACAGCGCCGAGGGTGCTGCCACTAACAAGCAGCGACTCGAGGTCATCAAGGAGCAGCAGGATCTCATCGAGGACGAGGCAGAGCAGGACCAGGCTAGCCAAAGCTCTGGCTTCGCCACTCCCAGAGACACAGACGATATCGATGAGAAGGAGGAGAGACTCGCTCAAGCCCAAGCTGAGGGTCTCGGCAAGAAGCAAGTCAGCGAGATGGTCGAGGCCGAGATGGAGCTGGCTAAGGCCGCTGAGTCTGCTGCATCACTAGAGCGGGAGATCAACGCCAGCTCTGGATCGTCCAAGGAGCAGAAGTAGACGAGAGGAGAGGAACGTGAAGTGAAGTGAAGTGAGCTAGAGGCTCAATGTACCATGACTTGGTGTGTGTGTTTTTCATATGTATGACTGTATGGATTGGTATGGCATCAAGGCGGGATGGGAAATTAAGGCGCTGTGCTGCTGTATCAAAAACTTGGCCCCCGACATTTGAGAGGACCAAAGATTAAGTATTACTTGTTTGGGATAGACCACTCTCGACGGGAAGCAATAGATTCCACTGAATGATTTTATTTGTATATATAATTGATTTGCCCGACACTTGCAACTGTGAGTTACCAGTTATCTTATTCCCGAGTGATATCTTGATGCCTATGAGACGGACCCTTGGGCTTGGCTTAGCTGCGTCATCGTCTGCTAATGTAGATCCTGATAGAGGGGTACTTGTGAAGGTGATGACGAGGGATCGCTACGGCCACCAAAAGTGAGCTCAGATATTTAAGAATAATTAAACAAATCATCTAGTAGATTTAAAAGAGTTAAATCATGTTCCTATAGTCCTAGGTATAGACAATGAGGTGATATTCTGTCCTCGCTGCAACCTCAGAAGCCCCTCTCTATCTCATAGTGGTCCCTGCGCCACCCCAGCTCCCCACGTCCTAACCTCTACCACTTAACTTAGCACCACCAAGCTTCAAGTCAAGCCAACCCAATCCAACTCTCACCAACTCCGACCACTTTCAATCAACGTCACCTCACTATCTCTCTTCTCCAACCGCCTCACATCGCTACAATATTTCAATCCTCTACCCCGTCTCGATCTCAGCCGGCACCGCCATCTCACATTGGCCCCGCAATGACGGCCATGGAACAGCAACAAGACGACTTCTCCAACGTCTCGTGGAGCGAACACGTCCACGACCAAACATCCCGCACTGTTCCTCCCGCCGAAGAACCAGGCCATGATATGAATGCGCCCGGGACCGGGCTGGAGATAGATGCCCCCTCGCTGGGGAATGAGGTCCTCGAGTGCACTGTTGGAACGCCCATCAAGGAAAATGACGGCACCAAAGATGCTTTTGTCTCGTATCTCATCACCACAAACGTACGTACCACTTCACCCACTATATCATGCGCTCATGCTGACCACTGCAGTCGACATTCTCTGCCTTTCAGCGCTCAACTACAACAGTCCGCCGCCGCTTCACAGACTTCGTATTCCTCTACAAACAACTCACCCGCGACTATCCCGCCGCTGCCGTGCCCCCTCTGCCCGACAAGCAACGCATGGAATACGTCCGCGGCGACCGCTTCGGCTCTGACTTTACCGCCCGTCGCGCCCACTCCCTCCAGCGCTTCCTGAACAGACTGTCTCTCCATCCTACACTGCGCCGCGCTCCGATCCTGCATACGTTCCTCGAGAGCCCTGACTGGAATGCTACCATGCGCAGTCGTGGTGCGCGAGCGAGCTCTGCGAGTGATCCTGGGTCCGCGGGGGTGTTTGATAACTTTGCTGATACGTTCATCAATGCTTTTACGAAGCTGCATCGTCCGGATCGTCGGTTCCTCGAGGTTAAGGACAAGAGCGATAAGCTTGATGATGACCTTGGACATATTGAGAAGGTTATTGCTAGGGTTGCCAGGCGAGAGACGGATTTGGAGGTAGACTTGCGAGATCTCGCAGAGCAGTTCCAGAAGCTCATCCCGCTTGAACCCCATGTTGAACCTGCAGTTCACGGCTTCTCTGCATCCATCGAAGACACAGCGACTCATCTGCGGAAACTCAAGGACGTCACCGACCAAGACTATCTCGGCTCCCTGCGCGACATGCAAGCTTACTCCATCGCCCTTAAGAACCTCCTCAAGGCCCGCGAGCAGAAACAGCTCGACTACGAACAACTCACCGAATATCTCAACAAATCCACCACAGAGCGCGACACCCTGCAGTCCGGCCATCACGGCGGTTCCGGCGCCGGAAGTTTCCTGCGCGCCAAGATCGAAGACGTGCGGGGCGTAGACCACGAGCAAGCACGCCGTGAACGCACGCGCAAGCTGGAGCTCCGCGTTGAAGAGCTGACTCACGAGGTTGAGAGCGCTCGCAAGACGAGCGACATGTTTGACGATGAGGTTGTCAAGGAAGTAGCTGACTTTGAGCGTATCAAGAGGATCGAGATGAAGAGTCAGCTGGGAGGTCTTGCGGATGCGCATATTGAGTTCTATGGCGAAGTCGCTAGTATTTGGGAAAAGTACGTCCAGGAGATGGAGAAAGAGGGTATCACGAGTGCGTAGGAGTCAGCAGAGATTAAAGTTTCCATTCGGCGTTTATTAGGATATGGCGTTAGGGTTGTTTAGACGATGATGAGGACTCGATAAAGTAGCTCGTCTAGAAGAAAGACAGAAAGACATTCATGGCATTAGCACAATCGGCACTCGTGAACAAAGGACAACAGTGAGCATGACTTTGAAGAATTGGTGTTTGATTCAAGAATCACCTCATGTTTCAGTCTTGACATTTTGTACCAAACGCCATCCAAGGTCTATTGACAAAGGCACAATATAACCAACATAGACAAGACAAATCACACAAACTCCGCTAATCCATGCAAAAAAGCAACCCCAAATAGCTTGCTACGATGCCCAAGTCACGCATCAACGCCCGCCCAAAGGTCTCGTCTCACCCTTCTCATCATCACTGCTCTCCTCCTCACTCTCCTCATCGCTATCACTATCTTCTCCCACAGCGTAATGCTGCGTATCATCGCCAGCCAATCTATCACGAGATTGCTCGCGATCATCTCTGTAGTCTTCAAACTGCTCATCATCGCTGCCTTCAGCAAAAGCATCGTACAATTCTCCGCCACGAGTCCTGCGGGCCTTGCCTCCGGCGGCCTTTTCGCCGGCTCGAAGACCCTCAGCCTCTTCTTCGTCGATGAGTTCGAATTCGTAGTTGTTGTGGGAGGTGTTGCGGAGGCGGCGGCGACGGGCGATCCAGAAGTAGATTCCTAGACCGATGCAGAAGGCTGCGATGAGACCGACTGCGCCGTAGATCCAGATCTGTGCTTTCTTGGAGGCGCCGAAGGTTGGAAGCCAAGAGACCCAGGATGATGAAGCCGTAGTCGTTTCCTCGGCAGACTCTTGCGTGCTTGAGGGCTCTTCCTCGTCGGTGCTGGTAGGACGAGCGGGCTTGTTGGGTCGTTCAGGGTGGTCAGTGGGATGTTCAATGAGAGTAGGCTTGGTAGCAGGAGGAGCTGAAGTTGTAGAAGCAGCAATTGTCGTGGTAGACACGATCTTATCGTGGTCCTTGTCGTCGTCTGCGTTAGGCATGGGTAGCAGAGTTGCCTTGTCGGCCTCAATAGCTTCACCCCATAGCTTCAGGCGCCAGTCGGTGAAGCTGCCCTTGAATGAGTTCTTCTCAGTGTCGCGGACAACGATGGTCCACTTGCCGACACCACTTTCACCCCTATGTAAAGTTAGAATGAGCAGATCAAGTTTAACAGGAGTACATACCAATGAGCAACACTCATAAAAGTCCAGTCGATATATCCCTCCTCCTTGGCATCGCCTCGTCGGGCGACTGCAAGATGGCTGACCACATTGTCAGGGCTGATCAAGTCAACGCTCAGGTCACCACGTCGAGTATGCTCAACGTTCATAGTAACAGTGATATGCTCAACACGAGCGAGGTTGGAGTCCTTGAGCATGTCCTCGGTAACTTCAAGCGTTACACTCAAACCATCTCGACCCTCGGGGATCGACTTCTTGACATGAATCCAAGGAGAGAAATACCATGACTGTGGCTTGACCAGTGACCAATCCTTGGCTCGCTCGACCAAAGCCCACGAGTCAATCTTTCCATATCCGAAAACGTGGCTGAACTTCTTGCCAATCGTGGTGTTCTGCTGGTTGGACTCATCTCCTTCAATGGGGATGGCAGTGTCCATGGCGATGTATTGCAAGTCTCTCCATGTGAGCTCAGGGCGAACTTGAAGCGCCAGAGCAAAGATACCAGCAGCAAGAGGCGCGGCAGCAGAAGTACCACCGTGAGCCTTGTAACAACTGTTCTTTCCGACATCAGTTGTGTGCTGAATCAGTTAGTCAACATCCTAGACAAAGGCAATATTGAACCTACAATAGCATCTCCGCTTCCACTGCTGTATGTAACAACCAACTGAGCAGAGCACTCTTCGGCGTAGTAAGGATGCTGTCCAGTGCGATCAACAGCTCCAATGGTGATACTGTAGATCGAGTTGGTGTATCCATCGAAGTTGCAGTTGTCACCTTGACCGGCACCATTACCACTGGCAAAAACGTAGATGGAACCGAGACCACGACGTCCCTTCTGAATCGCTTTGAGCATAGCTCTTCGAATAACCACGTCAGGCGCCTCCATGGTCTGACCATCATCAGACGGACCCCATGAGCAAGAATAGATATGGTTGTCGTCGTATTTATACATCATAGCTTCCGCTTCGTCCGCGTCACTGATGAGCTTGCTAAGAATTCGGAGACCGGCGACCTTGGAGTCATACGCGACACCAATACCACAGACATCGTTGCGAGCAGCTGCGACTTCACCAGCGCAGCGGGTACCGTGGCGATCCTCGTCCAAAACAGGGGCAGGTTCGGGATCGTTGTCGTTGAAGTCCCATGAGCCAGCGGCGAAGTAGTTGGGCTTGAGATCGTCGCTATGCATATCAAGGCCATCGTCGATCACGGCCACAGTAACGTTCTTTCCGGTAATGCCATCCAGCCAGAGGCCAGTGACATTGACATCGTGGCCGACTTGGGTGGGATTCAATAGATGCCACTGCTCCTTGAAGATGGGGTCCTGAATGTCCAACTCCTTCATAATCGACGCCTGGTATTTGCTCATTAGGTCTCGAGCTTCCACAGGTGATTCGCGGCGTCCGAGTTGGGGGACATAGCCTTTTGGCGGTGGAGGAATCTCTCGCTTGAACAGGTGTTGTCGTGCTTGTTGCTTCTTGGACAAAAGAATACCATCAACTGGATCAGAGCCTCCCAGATCTCGCTTCCTTCTCTTT